AGTGATGCAAGTCACAGGGCCACAGATGGGACCTTCTCAGGACCCAGAGGAAGGACAAGGCCACGTCCTCTGTCCACAAATAGGCAGGTGGACTCTGAGCCACGGAGCTGGGGGCATCTTTCTGGGGGCATTTCAGCCTCAAAAAAAAATTCAGCTTTTTCTTTCTTCCTTTTTAAAAAAAATATATTTTATTGATTTTTCACAGAGAGGAAGGGAGAGAGATAGAAAGTTAGAAACATTGATGAGAGAGAAACATCGATCAGCTGCCTCCTGCACACTCCCTACTGGGGATGTGCCCGCAACCCAGGTACATGCCCTTGACCGGAATCGAACCTGGGACCTTTCAGCCCGCAGGCCGACGCTCTATCCACTGAGCCAAACCAGTCTCAGCTCTTCCTTTTTTTTTTTTACTCATATTTAACAATAATGTGACAATACCTTGTATTGGTACAGCTGTTTTTCAGTTTACAGAGAGCTTTACAAATAGGTATTATTTTTTAAAATATATTTTTACTGGTTTCAGAGAGAGGAAGGGAGAGAGATAGAAAGTTAGAAACATTGATGAGAGAGAAACATCGATCAGCTGCCTCCTGCACACCCCACACTGGGGGATCAAACCCACAACCAGGGCATGTGCCCTGACTGGGAATCGAACCGTGACCTCCTGGTTCATAGGTCAACGCTCAACCCCTGAGCCACACTGGCCGAGCCAAATAGGTATTATTTTTGAAATCAGAAAAATGTAACATTTTGGGAAGTCCCTCACCCTCCTTATCGCATCTGGCATTCCCAGCTCACCTGGGAAGAAGGCGTTGCTTCTGCCCTTGGCAAGCGGGGAAAGCTGAGCTGTGCAGAGGGCAGGCAACAGGCTGATGATGACCGCTTAGGCCTGGGCGCGGGAACTTGCTCATTCGCGGGCCCGTCGCCCAGTGAGATCGGGGACTCGGATGTCTTGTCCGAGGGCACACAGCTTCCAGCATGAAGGATAAGAGCAGGGTTTCTTCGATGCTAACTCGCCCTCCACCAGGGAGCGGGCTCCAGTGGGACAGACGCCCTGAGAGTTCGGGGCCTGGCTGTTGGGAGTCCGCGTCTGCCTGCAGGTCGGTCGGTCATCGGAACAGCGCTGACTTGGTTTTCTCGCTCTTCCCTTCAGAAGGAAAAGCAGACCCTGAGCGAAGAATTACTCGCATTGAAGAAAGAAAACAAGCTGCTGAAGGAGAACAATGCTGCCATGAGCAGGAGGCGGGAGCATTATGAATGTGAAATAAAACGCCTTAACAAGGTACCAGGCGGGCCGGGCTGTGTGAGGGCCCCTCCTGGCGAGGCCCACATGGCCTGCGCTGCAGGGGCTCCCGGGCCCGGGCACAGGGGCGTCTCTGTGACATTGCACATCTCTCCCCCCGGGCTTGCCCATGAGGCTTTGGGCATTCGTGTCCCTGCAAAGACTCCTCATGGAAAACCAATGAGGAGGACAGCTGGAGGAGAGGCAGGGCGGTGTGTAGTTGGTAGAGCCACAGAGCAAGCAGGGGTTGGGAGCAGCCGCCTGCTTGTGGGTCAACCACAGGAAACGGGCTGCTCTCAGCACCATCATCAGGACTCTGGCGTGAGGCTGATGAGGTAGGGGGTGCGTGTGTGTGTGTGTGTGTGTGTGTTTTATGGGGTAAGAGCTTAATTTTCGGGGGGAAAGGATCAATGAAAAAATGAAATGCTTTGCTGTTGACTTTTCAAGAGCCATGTCATATGTGGACCAGGAGCCCTTGCAGCACACGGTAAAGTTGAGACACGCATCTCTCAAAATACTAGAAATTGGCCAAAATCATAGAAATTTTCTTCCTGAACAGGAGTGGTGGTTGGCCCTGAAAATGCCCGTATGGCAGACTGTTTCCTGCCGCGGTTAACTGTGACCAGGGGTGTCATTTAAAGCGGCGGTCGCCAACTGGTGGACCGCGGACCACTGGTGGTCCATGAGGTCTGAAAGGCTGGCGACCACTGATGTAAAGTTGGGAGTTAATATGGGCCCGTGTCATTAACAGAGCGCACACTGGGCGGTGACCTGCTTATTGTCCGAGTCTCCACGCAAACAGGAAGCGGCACTTCAGAGCCACGGGAGCTCATCCCTCTGTGTTTCTCTAGCGCAGTGGTTCTCAACCTTCCTAATGCCGCGACCCCTTAATACAGTTCCTCATGTTGTGGTGACCCCCAACCATAACATTATTTTCGTTGCTACGTCATAACTGTAATTTTGCTACTGTTATGAATCGTCATGTAAATATCTGATATGCAAGATGTATTTTCATTGTTACAAATTGAACATAATTAAAGCATAGTGATGAATCACAAAAACAGTATGTAATTATATATGTGTTTTCCGATGGATATGGTGACCCCTGTGAAAGGGTGACGTCAATGTCATTTTCCAGGAAGTTGTAAGAGAAATAGAGTTTTCTTCTTCCTCCAAAAAGAATTGTTTGTTAAAATTTGTTGCTTAGCTACATCGTTCTAGGAAATGTCATAATAGTTACAATTTTTAAAAATGTGTTCGTAAGGCCCTGGCTGGTTTTGCACAGCGTCCGCGGGCGCTAAGCGCTCCTTGGTGAGTTGCCGGCTGGCCACACATATGCGAGCCCACACATTTTTTTTCTTTCCCGGCCTTTATGACCTCATTGCACAGTGATGCAGGCAGGTGGGTGCTGATAGTGTCACCACGAGGGCATCGCTGAAGCTGCTAAAGTAGCGGTTCTCAACCTGTGGGTCGCGACCCCTTTGGGGGTCGAACAACCCTTTCACAGGGGTCGCCTAAGACCATCAGAAAACACATATATAATTACATACTGTTTTTGTGATTAATCACTATGCTTTAACTATGTTCAATTTGTAACAATGAAATTGGGGGTCACCACAGCATGAGGGTTGAGAACAACTGTGCTAGAGCAACACAGAGGGATGAGCTCCCGTGGCTCTGAAGTGCCCCTTCCTGTTTGTGTGGAGACTCAGACAATAAGCAGGTCACCGCCCAGTGTGCGCGCCGAGTCCACACCAGGGGGAGGGACGCTCCGTCACCATTGCGGGCGTCTGTTCTAGTAAACGCATCCTGAGCCAGAGGCCCTCAGCACAGGCGCTGTCACTCATTGGCATGATCAGACAGACACGTTCGAGTGCCATGGGCTGCTGAGTAAGGATGCGAATCCTGTTGGCAAACCTAACTGTCTTATTTCCTCACCTCCTCACCCCGGCGAAACGCCACGCTGTACTGAATGCCAGGAAAGCGGAGGCCTTCTCTTCCCCCCACCCCGTGGGCCCCTGGGCGCCTTCCCGGGCAGCAGGGTACTGCAGAGGGCGGGGACGGGCCGTGACTCTGCATGGCTCACGTCTCTGTGTCCCTTTCTCCCGTGGAGACACGGCGATCTAGCAGAATATTCCTCGGAATGGCATCCGGCCCAGCAGCATCAGCTCTGGGGGGCAGGGTCTCAGGCCCCAGCCCCGACCTGCTGACCCAGGGTCTCTGGAGGCAGCGCCCAAGGGCGGGCACGTCTGCTGCCTCACAGGGGAAGCTGTTCCTCAATTCTGATCATTATTTGACTGAAGCAGAGACTCTAGAGCTGTGATGGCGATCCTATGACATGCGTGTCAGAGGTGACATGCGGACTCATTTTTTGGTTGATTTTTCTTTGTTAAATGGCATTTAAATATATAAAATAAAAATCAAAAATATAAATCTTTGTTTTACTATGGTTGCAAATATCAAAAAATTTCTGTATGTGACACGGCACCAGAGTTAAGTTAGGGTTTTTCAAAATGCTGGCACGCCGAGCTCAAAAGGTTCGCCATCACTGCCTAGAGCAGTGGTTCTCAACCTTCTGCCCCTTTAAATACAGTTCCTTATGTTGTGACCCAACCATAAAATTATTTTCGTTGCTACTGTTATGAACCGTCATGTAAATATCTGACATGGAGGGTGTCTTAGGCGGCTCCTGTGAAAGGGTCATTCGACCTCCAGAGGGGTCGCGACCCACAGGTTGAGAACCGCTGCTCTAGAGAAGGAGCATAGATATGCTGTCCTTTTGCAGGGGGCTCGGTGGAGGGGCTGCCCCAGCAAAGCCCTCAGAATAGCAATGAGGGTTGAATAACGAGCATCATCATGGAGAAAAGACAGAAGTGCCCAGGCCAGGAAACCCGAAGTCATTCAGTCCTTAGAGCGGCATCCAGGAGGGAACGCTGCCTTTGGGTGCCGGGGAGACGATCACGGTAACCGTCACAGAGACACGCAGACCATGTGCCTCTCAGGTCACCCATGTGCTTGTCTTGCAACACAGGCTCTTCAGGAGGCCCTGAAGGTCGAGTGCTCTCCGCTTCCCGAGGACCGTCTGGGGGGACCTGTGATGGGGTGCGGGCACGAGGACATGAGGACAGAGATGGAGGTGCTCAAACAGCAGGTGAGGGGCTGCAGGGGTGTGAGCACGTGGAAAGGCTGGGCCTGGGGTCCGGCGCCTTCGGGCACCTGTGAGAGTCCGCTGTTCAGTGAGTCAGAGAGAATCTGCTCGTTTCAAAGCTACTCATCAGAGTCCAGAACACGGCACCTCAGGCTGTGCGCAGAAGGACCGAGCGTTGGGTGGGCTCAGAGGCTTGTCCCAGGTCACACCACGACCCTCCTGGCGCGATGCTGTGAGCTTCAGGGAGGCCTGCCTTCTTCTGCAGACAGCATTAACCGGATCTCCGGCCGACTCGTCTCAGACAATGGGAGCGGCTGGGCTGCTGTTTGCAGCTTTCGGCTTCCGGGCTTTTGAACAACGAGGGTGTTTTAAAGGGAATGATACTCCACACTGATCACCTCACCGAGGGGCTGGACCTGCTCCTCCGCCCTCACACAGGTCCGCCTCCTCCCCACTCACCTAGCCCCACTCATGGCTGCCGAGCCTTAAACATGAACATGTACACCTACATGGGCGTCTACGTGAGATGTTTAGCGTCTTCCTCTCTCGTCGGTTACATTTTGTAGTCTTACAGACTTAAACTTGACGAACCACCCGGTAAAACTCATTGCCTGTTGGGGATGAAGGTATCATGTGCATGCGCGCTAACAGACAAAGCTCTAAGGTCCAGGTTCCCATAGGCGTTGTAATTTAAGTCATGGTCTTGGAGGAATCCCTTTGCCTCATTCCCGAAGCTTCGTTTGCTGTTTCTGCAGCTCCACGCACTAGCCGTCCAGCCATTAGTCAGCACCGAGCCAATGAAAAGCAACAGCAATTAAGTCCGCTTTCCTCTTTGGTTTGCCTACTTTTCCGGAATATTTGGAGCATCTCGAGAGAGCTGTTCCACTGAAATATTACTGCGTTTCCTTTTCTGTAATTTCCCTCCAAAATCGCCTGTGGAAACCTTCGGACGATCATGCTTCGATTCTCCACAGATGAGACTTCCGTCTCCAGGCTGGGCTCACCTTGTCACTTATGTTTGCACACAGCATGCCAGCACTTAGTGTCTCAGTGGTTGTTAGCAAACTTCTCTCAGAACTGCACGCAGGCTCCACACGTCTGAGCCCTGAGCTGGGGAAGGTGGCTTCTCTAAACGGTCACACTGACCGCGGGAAGAGGTCACCACAGCAACCCAATAGGCAGCAAACGATGACCGAGGACAATGCTTTTCAAAATGTCCATGTTAGGGCTGTACTTCTGAACCCATGGATTCGGGAGAAAGTGGAGAAGGGCCATTCTACACAAAGAGAAAGATAGAATCACAGTAACCATGACAGTCCTGTGTGCTAGGTGGAGCCCCGCCGGGGGGAGATGGTCATGGGAGGGAGAGGAACACGCAGACGGACCCGCCCCCGAGCCCCGCGCTGCGGAGAAAGGAGGCGCAGTAACCGCGGCGAATGTCTCCCAGGTGCAGATCTACGAGGAAGACTTCAGAAGGGAGAGGTCGGACCGAGAGAGACTCAACCGGGAGAAAGAGCAGCTGCAGCAAATGAACCGGACGTCGCAATCCCAGCTGAACCAGCTGAAGTCCGAGGTAACGTCAGAGGGAAGGGCCTGGGCCGCGTGTGTGCTGCCCGTTTACCCTCTCCCTGAAGGCAGCACGCGAGGCCCTGGGGCTTCTGGTATTTGAGGCTGAATTTTTCTGAGAGGTCAGCACCGGGGATGGAGCGATTCTTAAACCACCTTGTGAGAAGTTGGGAGCAACTGGGTGTTTCTTTTAGCGGGAGTGCAGTGAGGAGTTCCCCAGCAGCTGGACGCCAACATTCTGTTCTGAGGCCTAGTTCTTTTGATCTTTTCCTCCTGATATGTATTTTGGTCGCCTGGGAGCTGGCCTACCCAGGACTCCAAGGCCAACCTGAAACTCCCCAGGGCAATGACGTTGTCTCCAAGTCCTTGTCACGTTCTGTGAAGGGCTGAGTGGAATGTCCCCATCTTCCAAAAACAGGCCCGTTGCTAAGTGTCATTTATGTGTCTGTCTGGTGGGACCAAGGCGTTCCCTCTGGGGGTTCCCAGGGTAACTGTGACTGGGGTATTTGGGAAGCCGGTGATGTGAGCCAGCTTGTTGGAACAGGGTCTATTAATGTAAGCTGCTAAAATGAAGAGTGATCGGCTATATTAAAAGCAGACTCAGGAAGCCACCATGATGGTTAAATGCTAATGTGAATGGGGAAAATGCAGGGGACACAATTTGGCTTAAGAAAGGAAAATGCAGTACAAACTATCTGACACTGTTCGGGACGTGCCCGGGCCCCTGTGGGACCTGACACTGTGGCCGCCCCAGTTCCGTTCAGTGAGTAACAGGAGCTGTTCTATGTCCACACCCACATCTGCGCCCCCCTCCTCCATCCAGACGGAAATGTACCCCCTCACGCTGAGAACTCTAAGGCCCCCGAATACACCGCAGTAACAGCGTGAACGGCCCACGTCCCCAGCCCTCAGGTGGGCTTTCCGGGACGGAGGCCAGGCGTGTCC